TACAGTTTATCAACAACATGAAGTGCTTTAAAATATTACATTAAGTCAAGGTTGTCTTATTGCATGTAATAATCAGATTCCAAAAATTAAAACAGCTGTTGTTGATTTTTTTTTTTTTTTTTTTTTTTGCCCTCACCTGAGCGATATCTTTCAACAATGAGATTACGTTGATGCTTCATGAGCTCTTTGCGGCCCATGGCTCTTATAGCATAATGCAACCATAGAAAAATCAGAAAAATCTTACAAGAACAGCAGTGATTTATTTTGAGTTCATTCGAGTCACTTCAGGTGAAAACAATTATGTATGTTTTTAGTTGTTATGTTCACATCAGCATGATTAGTTAATTCTGAACACAACCACAGAATTATAAAAGGGTGTGCATACTTATGCAACTTGGTTATTTTTATCTTTTTTCTCTGAAATGTATCACTGCATAGGTTATCATTTTTTACATTGAAGGTGCAAAAGTTCTGATATGATTTATCTCTGTTTCATTTTTTACATAAAAAAACAGCTGTTTTAACTGGGCTTTGTAATGGCTTCCTGGAATACTTAAAGGGTTCACCCAATAATGAAAATTGTCAGTAATTACTCACCCTCATGTTGTTCCAAACCCCATAAGACTTTCGTTCATCTTCGGAACACAAATTAAGATATTTTTGATGAAATCTGAGAGCTGGCTCAAGTCAAGTCATCCTCATTTATATAGCGCTTTTAACAATGTAGATTGTTTCAAAGCAGCTTTACAGAGATAAACTTAATATAATTTAAGGTAACAGAGATTGCTCACTCCTTCATAGGCTGCTAGGTAATTGCATCTGCCGGCCCAGAAAAGTTAGTAAAAACATCGTTAACTATCAGTGACTACAGTGGCTCAACCTTAAGTTTATCAAGCGACGAGCATACTTTTTGTGGGCAAAAACCCCCCCTAAAATAACGACTTTATTCAACTCTTCATTTTCTTCTGTGTGGGCCTCTGAGTGAGTTCACGAGAGCAACACGACGCATGCGCGAGAACTAAGAAGATGACGCTCACGATCATTTAATGGAAAAGTGTAAAAGGCAAACCATTCATTTTGCAGCTTTGCCAAGGCACTTTTACGTTTTCTCGTTGGTTTCTCACGATTCGGACATCCAGGAAATGCACACTTGTTTAGACCCATTTCAAACACTACATCGAGACCCATCTGCGTCATCTTCTCAGTTCTCACGCATGCGTCGTGTTGCTCTCGTGAACTCACTCAGAGGCCCACACAGAAGAAAATGAAGAGTTGAATAAAGTCGTTATTTTAGGGGGGTTTTTGCGCACAAAAAGTATTCTCATCGCTTGATAAACTTAAGGTTGAGCCACTGTAGTCACTTGGACTATTTTAACGATGTTTTTACTAACTTTTCTGGGCCGGCAGATGCAATTACCTTGCAGTCTATGAAGGAGTGAGACAGCTCTCAGATTTCATAAAAAAATATCTTAATTTGTGTTCCGAAGATGAACGAAAGTCTTACGGGGTTGGAACAACATGAGGGTGTGTAATTACTTACAGAATTTTCATTTTTGGGTAAACTAAGCCCTTCATTATTTTGGGAACTAGGGCTGCACGATTTGGGGAAACAATCTATGACTTCTCTGGTTAAAATTGTGATATATGATTTAGACTGTCTTTTTTTGTTGTTGTTTTTTTACATGAGACAACCATAAATTCAACTGTCAAATATTTTGGTTGCACTTTATTTTAGAGTATGTGTACTTACAGTGTACATGCCTAAGAAAGTACTGGTTAATATAACATGACTACATGGGTTAAGGTTAGGTTTAGGTGGTAGGTTCAGAGTTAGTACCTAGTTATTACCCAGTTATTGCAATTACTATAACAAGGACATGGTATGTACATAGGGAACAGGACTGTAAAATAAAGTTCTACTAATATTTCTGAATAATTAACTACAATACTGTGATAAAGTGTTGTCTTTCCACAGTCTCTACAAGTAACTAATAAAATGATTTCAAACTCAAATACAGTTTCTCCATCTCCCCTCTGTCTTTTTGTCTTTGTTCCCCAAAGGTAGCAGAAGTCTTTTAGGTTGTGGGCACGTGTTGACCCCTGTCGAGGCCTTTCGCATCAAAAGCAACGCAGCCCTGCGATTCAACCAAGCACACGCTCAGCTACATGGCCGTGTGCAACAGGTCTTCGGCAGTTTGAAAAGCCGTTTCCAGTGCCTGCGTGACATCGGCCCCATTCAGTCACCCGAGTCAGTGGCATGCACCATCAAAGCCTGCTGCGTCCTGCACAACATCTGCAAGAAGTTCTCTGTCCCGTTACCCTTGGATTTTAACATAGAGCCGCTCCATCCACCATCAGAGGTGCTGAACATCTTGGCAGAGCAGCCATTTGACTACATGGAAGACACTAAAGAGGAGATGATAGAAATGTTTTTTAATATTTCAGAAGATGGAAACGAATAGGATGTGTCCGGATGTGGAAAAAGAACAGTAATTATCATTACAGAAGTCAGAGATTGTTAGTTTAAACCGTGTACTGAATGCTATAATGAAATGAACACAGATAAACGCATGCTAAGATGGCAGTTGATTCTTCATATTCATAAGCTTTATTCAGTTAATCAATAATTGATAAGCTAATGCTAGTACACTTATATTTGTTAACAAGTGATATGAATAAAAACAAAATGTTTGTCTGTGGAAGGCATAAACCAAGCACGCTTAATGATACAAGTCCGTTACAAGAAAAAGTATTGCAGTTGTAGGCCTACCATAATTCATTTATGGTGTCAGTTACTTTGACATACAGCATGATACTAAATGATTACCATATTTATATATACCAAAAATTGTAGTACCATGTCCAAAAAAAATGTTAATACCTGGTCATTTTTATTTGAATCATTTGTAAGTTAATTACTTGCAAATTGCTTATGTCTGGAAACACATCACATTGTGCCTGGATGGGACACGATGTAAATCTGTTTTTCTTAGGGGTCGTTTACACAACACTATTTTCAACTAAAAAAGGAAAACTTTTTATGCGATTGGCCACTCATTTGCACGACAACGGAGTTTTGGGGGCCTGAAAACTTTTCAAAAACCGAGTTTCAAAGTGCAGGTTTTTGAAAAGATTATCGTTTCTGTGTAAACTACAAAAACACAAATTTGTGAAAACAATGACATCATTACGTGTTCAGTCTAGAGGTGTGTAGTGTTTCTTTACAAAGTGACATCGCCATCTACTGGCCTGACATGCATAAAACAGCGCTTTTAATCGTCGTGGATCCATGTGAACGGGCATCATTTTGACAACGTTGTCGTCTGTATGCGAAACTTTTCAAAACCGCAAAGGAAAAACTTAGTTATCGTGTAAACTTACTCCTATTCCATGACTTTTGATTTGAATATATTTATAAATATATGATTCTTCATTAAGACAGCTCAGTATTTGTACAATATTAACAGCAGATTAATAATGAAGTTAAGTGCTTAAATTTCAGTTCTTACTAAAGTGACTTGCAGTGCAAACAATAGGAACAATGTTCCTATCAAACAATCAACCCTTGTTCCTCATCTTATTTCAATAGGAATTAACGTGATCTGGAATTTTTCGTGAAGGCAAGGGTTTTCCACATGCAGATTTCGCAACGGGTTCAAGTTGGTCACATGAATTTGCAGCGTTGATTAACATACATTTTATGCCTGATTTGAAAGTAATTGAAATTAGACTGAATTAGTGGCTGAAATTTCACTAATTTGACCGCTCCTAAAATCTGGAGAAAAAAAAAAAGAAGTTTTTTTTCTTTTTGAGGAATACAAACGTATTAAGAAATACGAAATGTTTGAATAATCTTTATGTGTCCGTTTCATACAACAATGGTTCACAGTATCCATGACAAACAAACAAATCTTTCCTTCCCCTGGAGTTCTCAAACCTCATTCTCTATTTCACATACTGATTGAAAATTATTCAAATCAGGGGTGCCCAATCCTGTTCCTGGAGATCTACCTTCCTGCAAAATCAGCTCCAAATCTGATTAAACACACCTGGTATGCGTCCAAAATCGTATACATTTTATAGGTACTTATTGTGAATTGGTAATTATTTCACAACCGTTAAAAAAGTTTCTATACATTCTATATAGTAGGCTATTAATGTAATCCGGACGTACTACATTCACCATGTTGTCATTATCACGTGATATACCAGGGTCAGTTGTGTCGCTTCACTGCCAATCACACATCTTCTCCCGTGGCCTCATGGGATAGTAAAGTCTCCATTGTATGCACACTTCAGAATCTCCCCAGTAGTAGTAGGTCTTCTGGTACTTTTTGTCTATTTTATGACTACTGTCAATTTGGACATATTTATTTAGTCACATACTGTTTATCACTTACTATATAGCTGGGAAGTGTGTGATTTCAGATGCAGCCATAATCTTCAGGAACGCTTGATAATGACATACAGGTTTAAAATACTGGTAGGAACAGGATTGAGCAACCCTGATGTAAATAATGAGACTATTTTGTCATTAGACAAACTATTCTTTTAAAGCTTGTTAAGCGACAGACAGCTAAGAATACGTCACTGGCATAATACAAAAATAAAGTGGAAAAATACTTTAATTGATCATGGTTTTTTAGCATTCATAATTGTTGGCCATTGTTTTTAGCATTCATCTAAAACATCAAATTCAACTTATATTAAATAGACCCTCATTCTCATTGTTTAAAAGTAATGTGCAAAATAAGCAGCATTAAGTACAGCTCAAGAATTAAAAACATTAACAAACACAAATTAAGCAAGGTTATATACACAGCTATTTAGATAAATAAAGTCTGGCAGTTAAGTTGAAATGGTAAACTCTTAGTGCTTTAGCTGAGGCTCAAAATACCAGTATCTTTCAGTCCTGTTAGCAGTATGTTATTGTTACTATTATTAATATTATTACTATTTTAAATAAAATAATTCTAATAACAAATGCACATAACATATGGTGAGAAAAATTTCATTCAAATTGTTGGAAGTCATGCTCAAAAAATATACCAATGTGGCTTCAAGGTTGTACTGACAAATTCCATGACTGTTTTTGATCTTACGTTATTATTATAAGAACACGGTTTTGCTAACCACACATGAATTATGTTACATTTTAAGATGTTATTCTATTTTTCCTCATATCTTACTTCCATTTTCATATTGTTTTAACGCTATTGAGTTGACGTAGATCGTGTCTGTGTTTTCATAGAGAGGCTCTGACTGAGCCACGACTTTGGTTTTCAGAGAATCCATGATGCACTGGTGCAGGAACACGTACTGAGACTGTAAGAGACAGAGAGGAGAAGCATAAGACACTTGAAGAGGGTCAAAGGTGTCTACACATCTCTTAGTCTTAATTTCCAAGTGATAGTATTGTCCTTAAACCAAAGTTTTTAAATGGCCTTCAAAACTCAAAAAGAAGCATGCCATTTGTAAATAAAAGCCTGGTTTCACAGACGAGGCTTAGATTAAGCCAGGATTAGGCCTTAGTTCAATTGGAACTTTTAAGTAGCTTTTATAAACGGGCCGTAAAAAAAATATATATATATATATTACTGGTGTGATTCTTGAGACAAAACAATGGCACTGACATATTTTAAGATACAATATTGCTTTCAAGTTGCTTTCAGTTAAAACAGCCCAAACATGCATTTTAGTCTGGGACTATAGGCTTAAGCCTTGTCTGTGAAACCGGGCAATTTACCATGTTATTGTATTTTGCTATGAATTCTAGGAGCTGCTGTCAAGTTGTAAAACTTAAGGGGTACTTCAACACTGGCTAAATGGGCTTTCAATAAAACTTGTCTGCCTTTGCAGTAGAAAACAGGTGTTATTTTGTTATCTTTTTCTGGAAATCATTGCTATTAGTAATCCTTCCGTTTTGCCAAATAGGTAGGAAAACTTCAACACCCATAATGCATATGTTGTCATCCAAGGCCACTTCCACCAGTCTGCTATATGCTTAGCATGCTTAGAGTCAAATACCACCTTGCTTTAGTAGGAAATACTTCTTAGCAAACTTTTAGTCATAATGGTTTCGATTTGTAGTGTTCCCGGGTGAAGGAATTTAAAGACGTTTAGCGGGACTCGAAGGGAGTTACTATCGGTTTCCAGGGAAGGATCCGGTGCGTTGTCGGCAGTGGCTGCAAAGAATCGTTAATATGGAGAGAACGCCGTGACGGAAAATCTGAAAAACCTCCGTGTTTGTAGGCCTACTTAACATTTCGAACTGGATGACTACGAACACAACATATTTTTATGCCAAATTTCGCTTGCAGGTAAGAAAGCAGTTTCCACAATGTTTCCATTTTTAACTCGTATGTGTTAATAACCCTATATTAATTATATTACAAAAATGTAGTTAAATAGTTTTAACAAAGCCCTGGCGGACTTTTGCTGACAAATAAACGTGAATTTCTCAGTCTAGGTAACACAGAGAGTAAACATTGTTCATTTACATACCAACATTGTAACCATATACAAAGCGAGTTGTAAATTGGCAAAGTTACACTTTAATTTTAGCGTTTTACCTGAATTGCCTGTCTTGACCTATTTTTGTCTATATTTTTCATATACTTAACTCATTGGCATGAGTGCTGGAAAGGCCACTTTTGATGAAGTAAAAAACAAAAAGCCAAAATGTTATATCCCAAAGCACACTAAATATTAGTATATTAACCTTTTTTTAAAAAGTTTAATTAGCTAGTTGAGTGGTTTAAATAATTGTAGCATTATTTCATGATATACAGTTAAAAATATAGTCTACAATCACCCAAATTTGAATTTATTTTTTAAGGTAAAATTCTGGTTTCCACAGCTGCCATTTTTGACAATTGTTAAGTCTCTATAAATTGCTTTTTCTAAAGTTTTGTTTTACAGGTGTTTGAATCCTCCACGAAAAAGTGAGCCATAACTCAAATAAATTCCTCATTATCATAATAATCACCACAACAATAATAATAATAACACCCAGACCCAATTCAATGCCAGATTGCCACTAAACCCCTCCTACCGCAATCAATTTGACCATCATGGATTGAAACAGTGTTACCTCAGTTTGCACCATAAGTGGCCGGCAGAGTCTCATTTGCTGGACGAACGCTGCAATGCCCACTGTCTTTTCTCTGTCCAGCTGCTGCAGAAGAACGTCCAGGGCGATCAGTGTACCTGTCCGGCCCACTCCAGCACTAGAGGAAGACAAGGACGATAAACATTTGCTTTAATTAAGCGGTTTGTTTAATAATGCTGTCAGCTCTCTGAATCAATGTGACTCATTATTGGTGTCAAGATAAAGGGTTAATTCACCCAAAAATGCAATTACCTAGCAGCCTATGAAGGAGTGAGCCAGCTCTCAGATTTCATCAAAAATATCTTAATTTGTGTTCCGAAGATTAACGAAAGTCTTACGGGGTTGGAACAACATGAGGGTGACGGGTGAGTAATTACTGACAGAATTTTCATTTTTGGGTGAACTAACCCTGTTTGAGTTTGAGTTGGGTTTAAAGTGAGTAGTGGTCACCTGCAGTGTACGACTGTTGGCCCTGCAGAGTAGGAATTCCCTATGTGCTGACGGACACGTCCTCTGAACTTGATCAGCTCCTCTGTGCCAAAGGGAACGCCATGATCTGGCCACGCTGTGAAGTGGAAGTGCTTCACTGTTCGTGTCTCAGAGGTGCTTTTCTATTACATACAAAAAAAATTTGACATAAATAGATTGTCTTAAGGTTACCTGACCATGGATGCTTTCTGTTATTCATAAGTTAAAGTTCTAATATCACGAGGTGAATGTGATTTTACCAAGTACAACGTGTTCCTTGATCAACATCTTTGTTGATCCTGGAACAACATTTCAATCAGCCAATCAGATGTCAAGTTTAGGCTTACAACCAGGGTTAGGTGCTTCTACATCAGTGTTATTCATCTATCATTTACCTCTGATTCAGAGCATGGAAAATCATCTTTCTCTTACTATGCTCCATGGCTGTGGAATGAATTTCAAGCTACTGTCCCTCTAGAAACAATTCCTCCTCTGAATGTTTTTAAAAATTTACTGCAGTATACAATGATTGAATCATGTTGTTGTTTTACTTGATTTATGATGAATGTTGTGCTCTGACTTTCTGGAATGTTTTATATGTGTTGTGTGTTTGTGTGTGATTTGTAGTGTGGCCATCTTGGCCAGGAATCCCTGGAGGAAGATATTTCTTTTAATCTCAATGGGACCTTCCTGGAAAAAATAAATAAATACATTTTAGGGATAAGTTATGGTTAAGGATAGGGTTAAGTGTTCGGACAGGAATGTAGTTCCAGGATCAACAACAAAAAATTGATCCAGGAACATGTCTATCTTGGCAAAATCAGTGACCCATATCACAAGGAATCTGTTTTTTCTTATATCTTTTGAAATAAAATAGTTCAGTATTTTTAAAAAACATTTAAATAATAACTTAAAAACTTCCTCACAAATCACAATTTTAAACTAAGCTGCAAAAGAGCTTGTTAAAACCTTGACAAGTTTGTGAAATCGCATACATCCACATTTACACAATCAATGATAACTATTTGGTAAACAGAAACTTGCCCTACCCAGTCACACTGAGTAAAAATGAGAAAGCAGAATACTATTATTATTCCTAAACACTAGATGAACTAACAATAAGAGTTGGTAACACTTTAATAAGGTTTCTTCGTTAATGAATAACTACACAGGAACACATGAGTAACTAATCAATAACTAATGCAGGACAAATGACTAGCACTAACATTTTAACTGCTACTGTAAACAAATACACAAGGTTGTTTACATTATCAATATGTAATAGCATAGCAGACTTATGATTTGGGAAAGCTGTCAATAATTAGCCTATGCTGTCTCCTAGAGAATTATTTATCAACTGAATAATTTTAAAGAAATGGATTTTAAAATGCAGTTGTCGGGACCTTACTTGTCCTGTGGCTAATTTTCCGGCATTCCTCTGGCATTGAATCACTAGAGTCATGGTGACTACTGGAACATATTGAGTCATCAGCCATACCATATACAGTTATTTTATTATTTATACCTCTCAAAAAACTTGCTTTTATGTATGTCTCCTAACTTATATATATGTGTGTGTGTGTGTGTGCATGAATTATGAAACTTTTTCAGTAGTTCTCTAAAAATAGTACTTAGTGATAAGTTAATAGTGAACTACTACTTTCATCTGTGTGCTATTACTTACTAATTCATTAATCAGAGTTTATTGTTAGTTAATAGTAGTTACTAGATTGTTAATATTGTGTTACTCATTTGTTGCTGTGTAGTTATTCATTAACGAAGGAACCTTATTCTAAAGTGTTACCCCATAGGTAAAGTCTGTCGAAGCTATTGCTATTTCTGACTGTGTGCAGATCCAACTGAAGGCTCCCAAAGAACGAGCGCATCATTTTTCTCTCATGAGCATTTCGTTTTTAACAAGATCCCTAAACATACCAGTGTGGCAGGATGGACTGTGGTTGAATCCAGTCCCTCCTCCCCATTTGGTTACATTGGCTGTTGTCCTTCCTATCCGGTTCGTGATTGGCTTGTGGTGAGTCCGTGGTGGCCAATCATGTTAGGAGGAGGAGGTTAAAGCTTGAAACGTACCCTCTAGGGCAGTGCGTGACGTTGTAGGCTTGTGTTGTTTGGGTTCACCCAGTTCCTGGTGGTGTTGCAGGTATGTAGAGGTCTATTGCAAATGTTGTACTGTGTTAGTTTGCTTGTGGTTTATGTGGGATTCCGATTTTTCATAGAATTCCTTGTGTTGCGGCTAACCCATTTTCCATTGAGTTGAACGGAATAACGTGTTACTCGCCTGTTTGTTGACTCGCCTGCGAGATGTGTGTGTCGCGCGCTGTGGCTCAGGTAAGTTTTCCCCATTTGGGTAATGTATTTGCCTTATTTGGGCGGTAGCTTAATAAAACCATTATTGTGTGTTTTAGGGATAGCTACTATAGCAAGGAAGCGTTTGCGGCCTGCCTTGGGGCAACTGCTGCTTTGCTTAAATACTGTTACTGCACGTCCCCCTACGTGTCGAACTTGTTTACGGCGAGTCCAAGTTAATGGACTGAGTTCATTTTTGCTCAAGGAAACTGCATCATAGGCCACTTGTGTGGCCGACTGAGTATCTGCCCTCAGATGTGTGTATCAACGGATGAGTGTGTTTGTTATGTGATCATTTGAGTGGGTTGTGCGTTCTTATTTTCTAAAAGCGATTTCATTTGTTTCTTTGGTTATTTCATTTGCCAGTATTATAGTTGTTTGGTAAAGTCATTTAATTTGCCTTTTTGTTTATTTCATTTACCCGCATTATGATCGTTTTGTAAAGTAATTGCATTTGTTTCTTTGGTTATTTCATTTGCCAGTATTATAGTTGTTTGGTAAAGTCATTTAATTTGCCTTTTTGTTTATTTCATTTACCATCATTATAATCGTTTTGTAAAGTACTTTCATTTTGCTTCTTTGTTTATTTCCTTTACCAGCACTATAGTCGTTTTGGTAAAGTAATTTCATTAGTTTCTTTGGTTATTTCATTTGCCAGTATTATAGTTGTTTGGTAAAGTCATTTAATTTGCCTTTTTGTGTATTTCATTTATCTGCATTGTTGTTGGTGTGCATGGTTATTCCATGTTTTTGTTTGTTTATTTGACTTAAAAGTATTACTGTTGTTTTTTTCCTCTATCTCATTTTCTTTGTTGCCGTTCTGGAAAAGTTCTTGTTTTTTTTTTTTGTCTTTGTCATCATTGTTAGTTTGATTTATGGTGTGAAATTATGACTTATCGTTAATTTTGTTTATTCTGTCTTTGTTATATGTGGCGGCGCTGAGAGCTGACGGTGGGGACGGCGTGCTCGAGGTGGTGGGCCCTCTTTAGTGTGTAGTGTGGTTCCCTTCACAGTGTGACCGTTGCTGTGCTGGTTGTGTGGCTGTGCACGTGCGTTTGGGGTGGATTATTTGGATACTCATGCCCGAGTCGCTGGACGCCCACCAGTAAGCCTCAAGCCCGGTATTGTGAGTGTGCGTGTGTGAAATATACTCTATGTCCGGACACTGATTCACACATCCTTGTGTGTTATTTATTATTGTGTTTTATTGATGATTAATTATTTGATCCCCATTGGAGTGCTGTGATGTGGTATTGATTCTTACCCAGTGTGTAGTGTTTTAAGAATACGCTGACGTCAGCTTTTCAGAGTGTTTACTATTTTTGCTGTGAATTTGATTAATAAAATTGTATTCCTTTGTACGAACCATTTCTCTGTTTGTTCAGTGCGCGAACCTGATTGCCTAATTCTATAGAAGTCTTGGTGGTTACTTACAGTTCCCCGGGTTAGACCTCGGGGTGGCGTAGTCAAATTATATTTACTGCCGCTGCTACATTTGGCGTAGCCGGCAGGATAGACTGAAATATAACAGAGAAGTGTATCCTACATGTTTTTTTTTTTTTTGTTTTTTTTTGGTTGTTGTTTTGTGGATAAATGTTGTGTTTTGTTTTGAGGGCAGTTGGATAACGTTTCTTTTTGAGCAAAGCAGCAGTTGTTCTCACGTGGACCCGTAACTGTCAGGTAAGGTTGGTGATTCGAGCTAGCTATGGACGAGGAACTACAAGAGTTGAGGGACTTAGTGGCCCAGCTGAAAGTAGATAATGAGAGGCTTCGCCAACAACAGGCTTTAGTTGCACAGGATCCCAATGTAGCCCCTGTACCACCTAATCTACCACCAGCTGTTAATGTCGCTAGTGATGGTGCGGCTGCTGTCCCCATAGCAGAGAGGATGGTTTTCATCCCGCGAGAACGTACATGTCCCATATTTAGTGGGAAATCGGGCCAACGGCTGAGTGAGTGGCTTGAGGAGGCACAAGCAAGTATGAGAGTACGGCATTTGGCAGCTAATGATCAAGCCGATTTCCTTTATGACCACTTAGAGGGGGAGGCTCGTGACGAGATAAAGTACCGCCCTAGCGTTGATCGGAGGGACCCAGCTCGCATAATTGCCATATTAAGAGAACTTTATGGTTGTACTGATTCGTATGTAGTATTGCAGGAGGCATTTTTTTCAAGGAGACAGCAGGAAGGCGAAACCCTTCAAGAATTTTCTTTGGCCCTGATGAGTCTCATGGCCAAGGTAAAGGGTCAGGCACCTGATGGTATGCCAAATGCTGAAGCCCTACTTAGGGATCAGTTTAACGAATATGTTCTTGATGGTGCTTTACGCCGTGAGTTAAAGCAAATGGTGCGGCGGCAGCCTATGGCCACCTTGCTGGAGGTCAGAAGGGAGGCCATGCGGTGGGAACGAGAGGGGTTGCCTGGCGGCATGAGGGGTCGCAGCCACTCTGTTCCCTCGGCTATTGGCATTCAGTATAGGGTACAGGGTAGCCCACATGATCCGCCTCGGACACCTCCGCCGTCTGAGGTGAGTGAAATAAAGGAGATGTTGAAATTTCAACAAGAACAACTGCGATGTCAACAAGAACAATTACAACAGCTTACCCAAAATCTTGTTCACTTGCAACGCCCCGACATGCGTGGTCGCTCGTCACGTAATGGGCCGTTAATATGCCGCCGTTGCCAACAGCCTGGCCATTTTGCTAGTGAATGTGATGGGGTTCGGGTCCCTTCTCGACCCCAGTCTCTGGGACGAGGCCCTCCCTTTGGTAGCCAGGCC